ACATTTGGAAAAAGTATGTATGTGTGTGTGTGTGTGAATAGATTTTTTGCCGTAAATCGACGTTTACTCAAAAACGGCTGGACCGATTTCAAAAATTTAAAAGCCATTCGATGTATCTCGATGAGGACTAGCGTTTACAAGTTTGTGCGACGATCGGCCGGGCCGTTTCTTTGTAAATAACAAAAAAGTGAAATATTGTCGACCATGTCCGCAATTCTGTGCTTTTGTTCACTGAAATTTAAAATAATAAGCTACAATTTTAGGGCACACAAGCACTATAGTGTCTGTGTAATACAATATAATTAATATAATTACAGAAATTTTCTTAAATGTGTTTGAGAAAATTCTATTCGAAATCCCAATGTTTAGATTTAATTGAAAGCTATAACTTTATTTTTGAAATAAACAGTTGAAAATTTTATCTATATATTTAAATCACAAATTCGGTTGATCAAGTCAATTTTTCACATTTCGGGGAAGTTCATGCAACTTGCCTTAAGGCTAAATGCCACTTTCAACCAGTTTAATTAATTATGTCTATAACAAAATATTATATTGTATTATTAATAAATTAAACTAATATAAAACACACTTTCAAGGGTGTATTCTAGTCTAAGGGAGCAACCATAGAAAAAAGGAAAATAATATTTTTTACTGTCCATTAAGTAATTAATCAATGTTTCAGGAGTACAGAAAAAATTCAAATTATAAAGGATCAAAAAGTTTTACTTCTAGCAGGTGATGAAGTGTGAGGACCTTAAAACATTTCTTCTGCAGTTTTTAAATATTTTTAATTACAATCTATAATTTTACACAAAGAAAAAGTTGTGACTTGTAAAAACTGTAATAGTATTGGGCCGAAAATCGAAAATGAAAGCTTATGCATATCTTCACGTTTCAGAGGTTTCTGAACATTTTCGTGACACCTCAGAAAAAATGTTTGCGAGTGTGTGTTTTGTGTCCGCATTTTTTCGTCCACGTTTTCGGGCGCACGGATCAACCGTTTTCAATAATTCTAAAAACATTCGATTCCTATTGATAGGGAGATGTGCTGATTAGTTTTTGGCAAAGGCAGGTCCAGCGATTTCAAAAATACAAGACTAAATGTACAAAAAATAGCAGTTTTTGAGAACCTATTGAATCATTCAACTTTCGGCTTGTGTTGACAAAACATTCGCCTTTGGGATTTTTTTTTATTTCATTTTTTTTTCAAGAAAATATTTTTGTATATCGAAAATAATTCAGATTTTAATTTTAATTCTTACTGAAGTGCTAAAACTCGCTTATATACCTTAAATAAATAATTTTAACTTTGTAATTCAGTTTATATAATTTTTATAAACATTAATGTTACAGTATTTATATTAATCTAATTTATTTGAAAACATTTATTAACATTGCTCGATCATTTCGTTACGGTACGGGAAGTCCAAGCAATTTGCCTTAAGGCACGATGCCATGCACCACTAGTAGTTGCTTCTTAATTTGACCAATTATTTTTTCTTTTCAGCCGCATCTCCGATTGCAGAACTTTTCAAAGTATTTGCAAAAGTTGGCAAAACCGAAGCCGAAGGCAATGCACTATCATACGAACAATTACAACAATGGATGAACATGGCACAAATCACAGACTCTAATGATCGCAAAGTCGCTGAACTATTAAAGAAAGTAAGTAACTTGCAATAAGAACTAGTGGTGTATGGCATAGTGCCTTAAGGCAAATTGCTGGAACTTCCCGTACCGTAATTCGAGAAATTTTAAACGTTTTCAAATATATTATTACAAATACTGTAACTTTCATTATTTTTCCTATCTTGTTATATCTGAGCAAATGAAATTGAAATGATAAATCAATTTATCTCCAGAACATTAACAATCGTCATTTCATTTCGAATTCAATTTCAAAAAAAAAATGGTTGCCTAATTTGCACAAAATTGAATTGAAGGGCTCCCGTATAGTCACAGTCTAAACGCATTTGCAAATAATTCTGTGCGACACTTTCACTTATACTGTGCTTAGCTTGGCGGCATTTTCACATTTTTCAATACTTTTCACAAAATTGGAAAAGTGCTCCAGTACAAATACAGTCTAAACGCACTTGGGTAAACATTTGTACCAGAGTGGCACTTAGACTGTGCTTAGCCAGGGTAATTTTTTGAATTTCTTAATCCAAAAATTTTATGGAAAATAAAAAAAGATGTAATAATTTTTTATTCTCAAAAGCAATTGTTTTGTCAATACAAGCAGAAAGTTTTTTAGATCATTCAAATCGGACGCTTAGTTCACTCAAAAACTGCCATTTTTTGCACATTTAGCTCTGTATCTTCGAAATGGCGGGACCTGTCTTTGCAAAAAACTAATCGCCTCCTCTCCCAATCATTACAAATTGAATGTTTTTTAGATCATTCATCCGATACTCCGCTCTCTCAAAAACTCGACTTGTATTTTCTGCACTCTTTGCTACGTATCTCCGTAACGGCTGGACTTGCCTTTGCCAAAAACTAATCAGCACATTTTCCTATCAATAGGGATCGAATGTTTTTTAAACCATTCAAATCGGTTGATCCGTGCGCCCGAAAACGTGGACGAAAATTTGTATCCATACATACACACATCCATTTTTCTGAAGTATGCCAAAATGTTCAAAAACCTTCAAAACGTCGAAAGATGCAAAAATTTTCATTTTCGATTTTCGGCCCATTACTATAACTACCCTACGGGAAGTTAATTATCAATCTAAAGTACTTTTTCTATTACAGTTCAGTGCCACCAAAGAAATCGAATACGCCCAATTCGACAATTTCCTCAACGACTTTGCAAAAGCTATAAAAATATCACCGGAGCAGCTTAAAGAAAAATTGGTATCTGTAGCCGTGCCAAGCCCTTTGACCTTACAGGCCCCTGCGGATACACCTGTTACGCAGGAGCAACCTGCAGAAGCAGAGGCTGCAAACCTACCAAGAACATATTTAGATTTACCTGATTTACCGGAAATACCTGAAGGTTACTGTCCTATGAGAAGAAAAGGCAAGGAAGTGTGCGAAGAAAATTTTGATGATAAAAATAAGGAAGGTTCAGATAAACCTGATAGAAAGACTAAGAAATGACTACAAATTCTAACGGGGCTACGGTAGATAAATAATTTATTCTTACCTCTATGCCTTTTTTCGTGGATAGATTTGTTTTGCAACCAGGACAATCTAATTCAGCATCAAAGGCTTCGGATTTGGTAAGAAAACCACAATTGATGCAATTCAGCAATTTATCTTCGCCGACGTCTGCCAAGATGTGATATTCGTGGGATATACTGCCGCCTATTGTGCCACCATCGGCTTCCACTAGAAATAGACATTATTTATTAAATTTTATTTATAACAAATATTGAAGCATATTTTATTTAAAGTTCAGTGTTACCTTTTACAAATGGTACATTCAGTTCCGTAAACAGCTCAAAATATGTATTATTCACAGACTCATATGATTCCAGTGCATCCTTTCTGCTAATGTCGAATGTATATAAATCTTTCATTACAAATTCTCGTGCTCTCAGCAAGCCGAACCTTGGTTTAATTTCGTCTCTGAATTTACTGGTTATCTATTTATACAAATAATTTATATATATATATATATATATATATATATATTATTTCTTACCTGGTATAATCTGATAGGAAACATTTTGTATGACAATGGTGCTAGCGATGCGATGAGTGCTGTGATAGATTCTTCATGTGTCTGCAAGAAAAATTTTTATTAATACTTACATTATTGAATTTAAAACTACATAGTTTTAAATTAAAATAATATAATAATTGAGTATAGTTTATTATATAATAATTGAGCATAATTTAAATAATTGAGTGAGTAAATATATTCTAATACAATACCTACGGGACCAAGTACATACATCCTCTCATGTCTGTCTTTTAATGTAAAAATTTCAGAATTTGCTAACCGACCTGAAAAGAAAATTGGTTAAACATTTTGTTACTGCATTTATTAATCAATTATATTTACCTGTGGTTTCCCATAAATCAGCACTAGTTATAGAAGGCATATAAATCTTCTGCGCTTCAATCTTATGCATATATTTATCAATCAGATCATTCAATTTCCTCAAACTCGTTCACCTAAAGGTAGCATGTGAAAACTACCAGGTGCTCCAGATCTTATTATACCCACATCAGTCAATAACTATAAAATATAAATAAATAGTAAAGGATAATCAAGACATTGATTGTTTTCAAATTTACCTTTTGGCTTTTTGATATAAGTACATCTTTTGTGGGCGATATTTGAGCTGTTTTTGGAGTTATGATTAAAGGTTGAAATATTCTTGATACACGATTCATATTTTTAAAGGTTTAGTAATATTTAATTGTGAAATTTTATGTAAACAATTCACATTACAAGTGTGGACTTTAGGTTATGCAAATGGCTGACAAACTGTCAACGATCGCACCGGGGTGAAGTTAATCGAATGATATTATGCGGGAAATTCAAATTTTTGTTTTTGAAATTTATTAAATCAATTATATATATTTTATCATATATATATTTCATTATATATACATACATATATATATACATATACATATACATATACATATACATATACATATACATATATATATATATATATATATATATATATATATATATGTGTGTGTATTAATTCATCAGCATATTTATAGAATTTTGCAACAAAGCACTTACAAAAAAAACTGTACTATATCCATCCAAAGTCTCCTTATTGCACGTTGACAACAAAACAAGATAATTGTCGATATAAAAAACTTGTGTGGCAGCTATAACAAATATGTTATAATGTTTATGTTAATAATTGTCATGTAATACATTGTATATAAATAGTATAATTTCTTAGAACAGTTTTTCTTTTATATTATTCCAGATTATAAAAAAAAAATTAGAATAAATTATTTATGTAATTTGTTATTAGAAAGAAATTGTAATAACATAGTTACTTCTGTTATTTTGATGATACGAAGATAGAAAAATATTTATGTAGTAAATTCCAAATTCAAAAGCATGAAAGGTACCACCTACTTATTGTTTCTTATGAAAAGAAGTTCCTTTGATAAATTTGTTAAGAAAAAATATCTTCATCATATATATGACTTAAAAAAAATTTTATTTATAAAATCAGAAAGCACAAAACCAATCAGCACGCCTCCTTATCAATACAAATCGAATGTTCCTTGAATTAATCAAATCGGTTGATCCGTGTTCCCGAAATCGTCGACGAAAATTTGTATCCGCACACACTCACACACACACAGCACACACATACATATACACACACATACCACCATTTTTTCTAAGGTATGCATATAAAAATTTTCATTTTCGATTTTTTGAAGTTAATAATAAATAAATAAAATTAATAATAATTATAAACTTCTATTAATATTTTTTTAAATTCTATAAAGTACAGAAATTTTTTTCAAGAGGATTCTGGCAGATTCCTGGGTCATTTTCTTATTGAACACAATAATAAAACTGAATATCTTTTATAAAAATATATATTTACACCTTTTATATTATATTATATCGAAATATATTAAAAACAATGTCATATTTACATACACCTCATGAATAATCTAAATATAACTATTCAACCTTAGTCATGAGAATAAAATAAAACGTTTTGGATAAAATATCACCTATTGTAAAAAACATATAAGTATGTTACTACTTAATTGTGTCACTACATCAAGCTCTATATATTTACGTGCACCAGCATAAATAACAATAAATCACAATAACATTTAATTCCTCTTCTGCGTGAGATAATTGCTGATTCTCTGCGCTATGAACGGCCACAGAATCAGAAACAGAAACCAATTAGGTGTTATACCTTGAAACGGCCACCACTGGGGCACTTTGGTACGAACCGCCAGGAATTGATTAGTCTTACGCTCCATTTTAGAAACTCTTTCATTCGCATTGCGTAAATCAGCTTTCATGCTGTCTATAGTTTTTTGTAACTGCTCACATAAATTAACAGCGTAATGGTTTTCTAATTTGTGCAACTCGTCATTCATATGTGCAACATTGTTTAAGGTTTCTTTAGTTAAACTGTCGCCTCTACGTTTTCTTTCCTTGCGACTTACATGTACTTTAGCTTTGGACGTTGTTAATTCATGCTCACTTTCTACGGTATCAATATACTCGTCTTCAGAGTTGTCAGGTGTTTCTGAATGGTGCACACCGTTTGTTTTAATACCATTAACAAGTTTTTCATCTCGTATAGGACTGACTTCTCGCGAAGTGATGGGAGATGCTGGTGTGGATCGAACTTTTTGTATAGCGTTAGGGGCTACAGCTTCAAGCATGTCTAGAGATAAACCTTCAACTCCTTCAACGCTCTGTATGAAACTAGCAACGTTGTCTGTGTAAGCCATGGTTTCGATGATTTTACCCAAATCGGCTATGTATAATAACATGGCTTCTTCAGCCGGCATGTCACCTAGTTTATTCCAGGCGTCCCATTTCGCTCTGTTGACAACGTCCCAGAAGGCAGGCCTTCGTTGTTTGCAGGGACCCAATGTGGCTTGTTTGTAAAAACTGTAGAATCTCAGCATCATTTCATGGCTCGGCTGAAATGTGCCATTCTTTGGCATACTTCTTATAACATTAACGGCGGCGTCGAAGCGCTCCTTTACAGGCATCGTAGCTGTCTGCATCTTTTTCGCTGATTTCGAACAATCGTCTAGAAGAGAAAGAAATCAATAATGTGACTTCATTGAATTTGCATGGATGGATGAAAGTTTTGGAAGCACTGGAATCATAATCGAGGTCCGTTTGAGTTATTTAGAGACCTTGTATATATGCAAAAACATATTATGTCGATAAAAGAATTAAAAGTAATTATTTAATGACAGGCGAATTGTCGATTGCAAAAATGACGTATGAAATGTCAAAGTGACATATCATTATTAGGGGTGCCATAGTTGATCCAATTGCATTATTTTCGCTAATCGTTACATTACTTAAATTATTTACATTATTAAAATAAAGCAAATAAAGTCTATATTTCTTTCTAAAGTAATTTATATTAAGTACAATTAAATTTAAAATACGTTTTTATTTCCTTTATCGCGCGCACACAGGGTCATTAACAGGAGTACCAAAATCAAATAAAATGATCCAGATACATATTTTTGCAAAAATTATTATGACAATAAACTAACCTAATGTATTAAACAACTTAAATTAACAGTTTTAAACATATTATATGTATTTTATATGAATAACAGTAATAAAATAATCCTCTTTTATATAGGAACGTTTTTTAAAAAAATAATGTAGCTACCTTCACGAAGGAATATTTTATAGGAGAATGCACTTATCATGAAGGAATATATTATAGGAGAATCATATTGTTAACAATAATTTTATAATTTGTTATTATTATTTTCATTATCATCTATGATTATTGTTGTTACTAATTTATTTGTATTATTTTTATTACTATTATTTACTTATTTATTACTCTTTCTTAATCACTTATTTATTTATTATTAATATTGATTAATTAATTCACTTATTTTGCCATTTATTTCATAATTTTATTATAATTATAAATATTGTTTTTATTTGCTATTATGCACTTAATGATATTATTATTTAATACTACTATTTATTTAATTATATTTTTATTTATTTATATTTTTTATATATTTAATTCGGTAATTTTATTTTAATTTAATTTATTACATTTTTTTTAATTTAATAGTTGAAACAAAAAAAAACATTTTATTTTATTTTATTATAAAATTAGTCTCATTAAACTTTATACATATAAAAATTATTGCAATTAATAATGAATAATAAAAATACATAATATAAAGCAAATTTCAGTAATTACTTAGCCTTGTGAAATTTTTTTTACCTTTATTTCACTTATTTAAAAAAGTCACCTATATTGTATATTTTTTAAATTTATTATAAAAACATGTTATCATTATTTTAAATATATTATGCTATCTTAATAATAATGAAATGCAAAAATTAAGTCTTGTTTGTATGTTTCATTTTTTTATTATAGATAAAAATGGATTTTGATAACGTTTCGATAATTCCTATCTTTTGTAAGAAGGACTTTGATAACGAGGCCGTTTGATAAATAATTTATAAAAAAATACGAATCTATATATAAATATATTTATGTTATTATCAATGAATGCAATACAATTTGATAAAGGAAATAAATAATTTAAATTACATATTATTAAGTACATATTCAATAAAAAAAAATACAGATATAGTTTTTCCTGGTGGGCATCATTATTATTATTTATGATTTTATTTTTGCGTACAAAAATATATTTTTATCTCAAAAATTTATATAATTTTTTGTATATGCAATATCAAATTTTGTTTTTTTTAAATTACTACTACTTATTTTTTTACTAATATTTTAATTTTTAATAATGTAAATATGTATGTATTACATTATTTTAACTTGAAAAATAAAACTAAACATGGCAAAAGATGAAAACTGTTAAATTTAATTCCGATTATAGTATTTTATTTAAGTTAAAACAAAGTTTTATATATTTTTAGTATCAACATTTTATATAATATATAAACGTATAAATGTTTATAAAAATAGTTAAATTTATAAAACATTTATTTGTAAAAAAAATTACATCGGCTAAGTTCACACGTAAACACTTTAAACTGTCAAAATTTCTTCAAATTTCGAATATTAAAATAACAAAATGCGTATTTATTTTAATATAATAGAATCTTTTGATATTTTTAGTATAATTTACGTTGTTTTTGTTAATTTGAACAATAAACTTTGACACTACATATTAGATTAAATGAAAAAATACTTAAAAATACTCAACATGGCGGCGATATGGTAAAGGATAAAAATGTCAAATTTAATTCGGAATAAAATTAATTATAAATATATTAAACAAAAGTTTTTAATCAACATTTTATATATCAGATTTTATAATATATGAACGTAGAAATTTTTATATTAATATTTAAATGTATAAAACAATTTTTTGTAAAAAAAGTACATTGGCTTAGTTCACACGTAACCCGTTCAACTGTCAAATTTTGTGCAAATTCCGAATATTTAACAACAAAATGCGTATTTATTTTAATAATATCTTTTAATATCGTAAGTACAATTTACCTTGTTTTTGTATTTTAATTTAAATAATGAACTCTGACACTATATATTAGATTAAATGAAAAATACTTTAAAACAAAATTAAACATGGCGCCGCTAAAGGATAAAAATGTCAATTTTTTTTCGGAACAAAAATTATTATAAATACATTAAAAAAAGTTTATAATCAATATTTTATATATTAGTTTATTATAATATATGAACGCAGACATTTTTAAATTTTATTATTTAAATGTTTAGAACAAAATATTTAAAAATTTACATCGGCTAAGTTCAAACCTAACTCAACTGTCAAAATTTGTACAAATTTTAAATATATTATAAACAAAATACGTATTTATTTCAAGACAATGGACTAATGTGATATTACTACTACAATACAAGAACGTTATTGTATTAATTTCATCAATAAACCGCAGTCAAAGGGCATCGATCACATTCCAGGGTCAATGTTCAAGTACGTTGTTAGAATTCTAACCAAAAAATTTGCACAATAATCAAAAAAAAAATGCACTCACCTTAAAATGATAACTGATACACAATTAAAACAGCGGGTAATCCTTGTACAACAATTTTCCTAGTGCATTGTGTTAAAACCAACAAACAACAAATAAAAACAATATCAATTCCAAGAGCGACAATCTGTTTATCACTAGAACACTATCACATATAATTTTGCAGAGTGGAACTGTGCAACATTTACTTTCTATAAATGACTTTATTAGTTTCTTTTCGTGTAAAACTAATCCCCATTATCGGATTTCAACTATCAACTACTGACTCTAAACAAGTCTTGCATACTAATGAAAGCAATGACGAGTATTACATTTACAAACGCCTCATATGCAAATATCTATATATACTTACATATATTTTTTTCTTAATTGCTAAGTCATCAACTCATTCTGTGTGACGTACGATATTCATTTCTATATATTTTATAACGTGTCTGCAACTCGGTTGCATAATTATTAATGCAAGAAATATAATGCTAATTAATAAAATACATAAAAAATTTGTTACATAAAATTAAATGACAGCGGCTGTAATGGCGGCGCGGGGTAATAGATTAATAAATAAATAAATAAAAATCTATATATATGGTATAATTATACTGGATTTTTATACCATATGCATTCTTCCCCATAAATTTTAATACATACAATTCTCAATAATAACTTTCTTAATTATTCTTTTCAACTCCGCCATTATTCAATTTTCACATAATCTTGTTTTACTTTTAACGAAATTTGTAACGACTTATTCAAACAAAATTTAACGTTTTTCTTTCTCCTTTTCGACACATACATTTTGAAATTTAATTTAGATCAATAACCACACAGTTTTATTAAGTTTATGTATATAATTTTATATAAATCACAAGTGTATTTATTTAATATTTCACAAATATCAAAACCGAACAAAATTGCGTCCATTACGGCTCCTTCGTCCTGATTGGCGGAAACGTAGAGTTGTATGATGAAGTTGGTCCTGATTAGAAGTACCAGATGCGGTAAGTAAATTTAATGGCGGTTTTTTCAAAATTTGAAATGTAAATATTAATTTATTTATATTTATTATAAACCAAAGAAAATTATGTTTTCACCAGAAAATCCGATTTGTTATTTATGTTCTCTCGTCGTTTCAAGTTATTCTAAATGATTTCATACAATTACAGAGTTCATGGTCTTAAACATTCTAAAATATTTTAGGGCTATAAAAATTGTTTTTATTATAAAACAGTTTATAATAAACATTTAAGTAATTATAAAATTATACCTCCTGAAAGAATTTCATAAGCGTGTGTTGTAAAATAAAATATATATGCTAAAGGAGACTAAAATTAAATTTTAAATCTTAATTGTGAATCCTGCATTATCTTTAAGCTCTGCAGGACGCACCGTTTGTACTAGAAAGTTGTAATTGTAGTACATTGTAGTAATTTTACATCCATTGTAGTATAGTTTACAAACATTGTAGTAATTTTACACTCATTGTAGTCTTTTTACAAACATTGTAGTAATTTTACACCCATTGTAGTATTTTTACAAACATTGTAGTAATTTTACGCCCATTGTAGTATTGTTTACAAACATTGTAGTAATTTTACACCCATTGTAGTATTGTTTACAGACATTGTAGTAATTTTACACCCATTGTAGTATTTTTACAAACATTGTAGTAATTTTACACCCATTGTAGTATTGTTTACAAACACATTGTTGTATTTTTACTCCCATTGTAGTATTTTTACAAACATTGTAGTAATTTTACACCCATTGTAGTATTGTTTACAGACATTGTAGTAATTTTACACCCATTGTAGTATTTTTACAAACATTGTAGTAATTTTACACCCATTGTAGTATTGTTTACAAACACATTGTTGTATTTTTACTCCCATTGTAGTATTTTTACAAACATTGTAGTAATTTTACACCCATTGTAGTATTTTTACAAACATTGTAGTATTGTAGTATTGTTTACAAACATTGTAGTAATTTTACACCCATTGTAGTATTGTTTACAAACATTGTAGTATTTTTACACCCCTTGTATTATTTTTACAAACATTGTAGTAATTTTACACCCATTGTAGTATTTTTACAAACATTGTAGTAATTTTACACCCATTGTAGTATTTTTACAAATATTGTAGTAATTTTAAACCCATTGACCAAGATTTTTAATTTCAGTATGGGAAGTTCTAGCAGTTTGAATTAAGACACGCTGCCATGCACCCCATTAGTTAATAAAAATGTTTAAGAGATAAATTTGGTTATAATTCTTCTCCCCCAGAACCTGGTTATATATTTCAGGCGGCACCCTGAATCATATTGGTAGAGTGGCTCGGCACATCACAGTTAAAAGCTTGCCGACCCCTGTTCTAGACGGCGACGCGGCGCTTACGCGCTTCGATATTTTGTCTCTATGCAGTTAAAGCAGTACGATTGCTTTGAAAAAAAGTTCAGACTTTCCAAAATATGTCAAAATAAAGAAAACATTTTTTTTCAAAAAAAATTTTTTTTTCAAAAAAAGTAATTGTTTCCCAAAAATCTAATTTTTTCGAAGTAAAATTTTTTCAAAAAATGTTAATCTTTTTTCAAGAAAATAATATTTGGTACGGGAAGCTCCAGCAATTTGCCTTAAGGCACGATGCCATGCGCCCCACTAGTTTTAGAAATTTAGAAATAAGATCAGATTTTCTTTTTAACACAATTTATTTATTATTATTATTATTATTATTACTTTTTTTACGCAAGTTTGATGGACGCATTCGAACGGACGAGCGATCTGCTTTCACACGTCGTATTGTAAATTAGAAATACACTGCATAATATAAGTGCATAGAGAGAATTTTATTTAGGTCATGCACATGCACTTGCAGTGCTGCATTCGATTGGTAAAAAATTATAAATTATCATTTATATTTATTATATTCATGTCGATTTTATGCTAATTCTAATGAGTAAAATAAATAATAATGTCGTATTTGTACGAGAGTAGCAGGTACCCTTGGAAAAAATGTGTTAATCAGTGTAAGAAGAAGACATGCGCTTGGCATTCATTACATTACTTTAACACAAAAACCAGTTCTCATTGAAGGACTCTCTCATTGATATTTATTTATTTGTATTTAAATAGAATTACTTTGTGGAATTTTCCACTGTTTAATGGTAATAAATGGTAAATTTATATATAAAATATATTTTTAATGTACCGAGGTCTAAACGGCATTTTTAACTTATTACTGGTGTATGGTTTGATATTTCTCCTAAACGGTTATTCGGATTTCGATAATTCTTTTATGTCAAAAGAAATGTTAAAGATTTAATGAACGACAAAACTACAGTAATATTGTAGAAATAAATGTAAAAAAATTACAAAACTACTAGTGTATGGCATCGTGCCTTAAGACAAACTTGCTGGAACTTCCCGTACCGTAAAAA